ACAGATTAGTGACTCGATCAAAGAATTCATAACAGAATCATCCGAACAAAGCGACTTACCAGACAACCCACCTGCATCTCCTTTGGTTGAACCGCAGCCCTCTGTAGTTGAACCCAGTTTGAAGGGTGCACAACAAATCTTGACCAATCAGACATCTAGCACTGTAAGTAGCCCAGCCCAAAGTATCCCTACCATTTCTGCACACGATTTAACTCCCCCAGAAGTGCAGCGAGTGGTAGTTGAGCACATTGTAAAGAGAGATGAATACTCAGGGCAGCCATTTTCACAAAAGCTCAGAGCTTTTTCAGGAAAAGAACCTCGCCCTGCTTACGAACCTGATTATGATGCTTGGCGCTCCAGTGTAGAACTAGTCATGACTGATACATCCATGTCACAACTGCAACAATCACGAAAAATCATTGAGAGTCTTCTACCTCCCGCAGCAGATGTTGTAAGGCACTTGAACCCCAACAGCTCACCTGCAGAATATCTTCAGTTGTTGGATTCCGCTTACGGAACTGTTCAGGATGGCGGAGAGCTGTTTGCAAAGTTTCTTGACACCTTCCAAAATACAGGTGAGAAACCGTCATCATATTTGCAACGTCTCCAAGCAGCTTTAACTCTTACTGTAAAACGAAATGGTGCCGCAAGCCGTGACTTTGACAAACTGCTACTTACACAGTTTTGTCGAGGTTGTTGGGACGATTCCTTGATAACTGAGCTCCAGTTAAGACAGAAACGAACAAGTCCCCCAACCTTTCCTGACTTGCTATTATTGTTGCGCACTGAAGAAGATCAACATGCTGCCAAAACAATGCGAAAGAAACAACATTTGAGCAATACAAAACCAAAAGTAACAGCTCACGTACAATTAGCCAAATGTGTCCCAGAGGAAGACAACAATATTGCCACACTGAGCACAATCACTAAAGAACTCTCTAAACAAGTTGCAGCAATCCAAAGTCAGCTAGTAAAACTAAATACTAAACCACCAAAACCGAGAATCCAAAACTCAAAAAATGCACCCAGTGCAAGATCAAAACAGAAACGAAAGCCAGACAAAGAAACCAAGGAACCCACAGAACAGGATAAAACTCTGCGTACGCCACCCAAACCATGGTACTGTTTCCATTGTGGAGAAGATGGCCACATAAAGCCGAACTGTGAAAACGAGCCCAATGCAGCTTTAGTTACTGAAAAGCGAAAACTGTTTAAAGACAAACAAAAAGAAGTGGGAAGCTGAACACCCCACAGACGTTAGTGAACAGTTAAACTAGAAACAGTCTCTATTACGGGGCAAATAGGGACTGTACCCAGTCAAGCATGTCCCACTAAAGTGAAGCAAAAAGCTAACTTGAAACAGTCTCTTAGAAAGCAGCAAAACTTTAGCTTGCCAAAAGGGTTAGTTGGTTCTAAATGTACAGCTGTAATTAGCATTTGTGGTATTAATGTTAACTGTCTTCTTGACTCAGGGTCACAAGTGACTACAGTCACAGAGTCATTCTACAAACAGAACTTTCCTGATCAAGACCTTAACCCACTGTATAACCTTTTAGAGGTAGAAGGTGCTGCAGGACAGCCTGTCCCTTATTTAGGTTATATAGAGTTGTGTGTTACCTTTCCAAAAGACTTCCTAGATACAGAGATTGACATACCAACCTTAGCTCTTGTAGTGCCAGATGCTCACCCTAACAACCAAACACCAGTGTTAGTGGGGACAAATACTCTTGATGTTCTTTATGAGAAGTATTTAGACATCAAAACACATGAGCACTTACCTGGTCCCTATGGGTTTAGAGCACTCTTGAAAACTCTCGAGGTCAGACACTCTCAAAACAAAGACGGAAACATTGGTTTAGTTACCTTAGCGGGTAAGACAGCAGCGGTTGTTCCAGCGGGCCACACTGTAGTTTTAGAGGGGTATGTTAACGTACATTACACTTCAACTGATACCTGCGCCCTAGTTGAACATCCCAGTCAGTCTTCCTTGCCCGGTGGTCTTTGTGTAAAGAGTTGCCTGATAACTCTTCCCTCCCGAGCTCCGCACAAAATCCCTGTAGTGATCACAAATGAAACGGAACAAGAGGTTACAATTCCGTCCACCTGTGTTATTGCAGAGCTTGGAGCTTTCCATTGTGTTGTCTCCCAGCACAATGTCACGAACACGAACGAGTCTAACCCAACCAAAGAGACAAACCTGAACTTCAATTTTGGAGACTCTCCGATATCACAAGAATGGAAGGAGAGGATAACCAAACAACTCAATGACATGCCAGAGGTATTCGCTCATCACGACCTTGATTTCGGGTGTACGAACAAAGTGAAGCACTCCATCAAACTTCATGATCTGACTCCCTTTAAGCACCGTGCACGCCCTATCCATCCCCAAGACCTGGAGGCAGTGCGTAAACACCTCCAAGAGCTGCTCGCAGCAGGTGTTATAAGAGAGTCCCAATCGCCTTACTCGTCCCCGATTGTTGTAGTGAGAAAGCGAAACAATGATGTCCGCCTTTGTATAGACTTTAGAAAACTTAACTTGCAGACCGTTAAGGACTCGTATGCCCTTCCGAATTTAGAAGACACATTCTCTGCGCTCTCAGGATCCAAGTGGTTTACTGTCCTCGATCTTAAATCTGGATATTACCAGATTGAGGTCGAGGAAGCAGACAAAGAAAAGACCGCGTTTGTAACACCACTTGGATTCTGGGAATTCAACCGCATGCCTCAAGGCATAACTAATGCCCCGAGCACTTTTCAAAGATTAATGGAACGTTGTGTTGGTGATATGAATCTAAAAGAAGTGCTCGTCTTTTTAGATGATCTGATAATCTTCTCAAGCAGTCTTGAGGAACACGAGAAACGTCTCATGCGAGTACTCAATCGTCTCAGAGAATATGGGCTGAAATTATCGCCAGAAAAATGTAAATTCTGTCAAACCACAGTCCGCTATCTAGGTCACATCATATCAGAAAATGGCGTAGAGACAGATCCCGAAAAGATTCAGGCCCTTAAGACATGGCCAAGGCCCACGAACCTTAAAGAACTGAGATCGTTTTTAGGGTTCTCTCAGGTTACTATAGGCGCTTCATTAAAGGTTACTCGTCTATAGTGCGCCCACTCAATGACTTGACCCGTGGTTACCCGCCACTCCGCAAAAAGTCCAAGTCAAAAGAACCAGATCAGACCTACCATGATCCAAAACTGCCATTTGAAAGTCGATGGACCACTGACTGCCAGAAAGCTTTTGATTCTATCATTGAAAAGCTTACAACAGCGCCTGTTTTAGGTTTCGCAGACCCGAAGCTACCTTACTTACTCCATACCGACGCCAGTACTACCGGCTTAGGTGCAGCACTCTACCAAGAGCAGGAGGGTCAGCTTAGGGCCATAGCTTTTGCCAGTCGTGGATTATCCAGAAGTGAAGCACGCTATCCAGCTCATAAATTAGAGTTTTTAGCGCTTAAATGGTCAGTTACGGAAAAGTTTCACGATTACTTGTATGGTGGTCAGTTTACTGTTGTAACAGACAGTAACCCGCTCACGTATATATATTGACTTCTGCCAAGTTAGACGCCACAGGGTACAGGTGGCTTGCAGCTTTGTCTAACTACAACTTTAAACTGCAGTACAGAGCGGGTAAGCAGAATTTAGACGCTGATGGCCTTTCTAGACGCCCTCATGGTGAACTAGTTAATGATGTACAGTCCAGGAAAGAGCAGGAGCGAGTGACCAAATTTGTAGAATGTCACCTAGCTGATAGTGACATCAGACAGCTTGTAGATAGTGATGTTGTCCAAGCCATCTGTCAGAACCATCTTGTTAAAATCAGAAATGACGATAATGACAGTGGTGTTACACTAGTAGAGTCACTTTCTCTCTCAGCCAATGCCATTCCAGACACTTACCTTTCCGAAGAGCAGCATGGCTTACCAACAATCTCTGCTATGTCCAACTCCGAGCTAAAAGACAAACAAAGAGCCGACTCAACCATCAGCCACGTGATAGCTCAAATTGAACTTGGTCAAACACCTCCACCAACTTTGAGAAAAGAACTTCCAGATCTCTCTCTTTTACTCAGAGAACTCAATCGATTGGAAATGCACAATGAGATCTTGTACAGAAAAAGGCAAGATGGAGACCAAGTGACCCATCAGCTTGTTCTTCCTGAGGAGCTCAGACCCTCGGTTCTCCAAAGTTTGCACAATGATATGGGCCACTTGGGTATTGACAGAACCCTTGATTTGGTCAGAACCCGTTTTTATTGGCCGCGTATGGCAACAGATGTTGAGCAAAAAGTCAAAACATGTGATCGCTGTATCCGTAGAAAGAGTCCCCCAGAAAAAGCAGCTAGTTTGGTCAACATTTCCACCTCACGACCGTTAGAGCTAGTCTGCATGGACTTCCTTAGTTTAGAGCCGGACAGCAGTAATACTAGTAATATCCTAGTAATGACTGATCATTTCACCAAATTTGCTCTTGCTGTGCCAACGCCAAATCAAAAGTCCAAAACAGTCGCCAGGTGCCTGTGGGATCAGTTCATCGTCCACTATGGGATACCTGAACGTTTGCATAGTGATCAGGGTCCTGATTTTGAAGCAAAACTGATCAAAGACTTGTGTGAGATCTCTGGAATAAAGAAAATACGTACTACCCCGTACCACCCAAGGGGTAATCCCGTAGAAAGATTTAACAGAACGTTACTCAGTATGTTAGGGACGCTTGAAACTAAACAAAAGTCCCATTGGAAAGAGTATGTCATGCCATTAGTTCATGCATACAATTGCACGCGCAGTGATGTGACAGGGTTTAGCCCTTATGAATTAATGTTTGGCAGAAAGCCCAGATTGCCAGTCGATCTTGCATTTGGACTTCCCTTAAACAAAAATCAGAAAATGTCCCATTCACAATATGTTCAAAGTCTTAAAACTCGTTTGGAGGAAAGCTATAGATTAGCTTCTAGAAATGCACAAAAAAAGTGGCAGACAAAAATAAAGCCAGGTTTGATCGTAAAATCACAGTCTCTGAACTTAAACCTGGGGATAGGGTTTTAGTCAGAAATGTACGACTGCGTGGCAAAAATAAACTTGCTGATAAGTGGGAAACAGATATCCATGTTGTTGAAAAGCGTGCAGGTCAGTTGCCAGTTTACACTGTAAAACCTGAATCAAAGCAAGGTCCTTCGCGAACCCTACATAGAGACCTTTTGCTTCCCTGCAGCTTTCTTCCTGTTGCCACGGTAGACATACCTGAGCCAGTACTTGTTAGTCGCCCTAAGACTCGACAAACTGCTGCCACTGAAATCACTGATCCCGACGAATCTGTTGAACTTGAAAATGATCTTTTAATCTCATGGGTTGAGGATTCCCCGTGCCAAGAGATAACCAGATTTACCACTGTACATGAATATTCAAAACCGCCGAACATGACAAACCTCCCGGATATGACGAAACCACTGAATGTGACAAAAACACTGAATGTGACAAAACCACTGGATTGGAACTTACCTGATTGTGACTTACCTGAAACCGATGCCGATGCAGACCTGGATATGGAAGAAAATGCCAATGAGGAAGATGCCAAGGAGGAAAATTCAAATGAGGATGAATCACTGGAAAACTTACCAGATGTGGAAAATACTGGAGTCGAGGGTGGAAATCCACCCCAAATTCCTGACAGATTTGAGGAAAGTGAAGCGATGAACTTACCTGAAAGTACTTCTGAGGATTCAGTTGAGGAACAAGGAAATGACTTACCTGAGGAAATGGACAATAATGATCCTATAACTACTCAACCATTGAGACGATCAGAGAGACACAGACAACCACCAATGAGATTAGACTACCCTAATTTAGGAAACCCCCTAATGACTGTTGTGAAGTCCTTGTTTCAAGGTCTGAGTACTGCTTTCTCAGACTCTCTCAATACTCAAAATGGACAGTATTGGTTAAACATGCAGCGAGACGTGCATGATATTTAACGGGGGAGGGTGTAACCCAGTAGAGTAAATGTGACATATTTTATTTAGATACACTCATTTTATTTTGAAAAACGTTTATTTTGGTAAGAGGAAGTGTGATCCTCTAGCTCTCTCTTGACTTCCTGTTTGTCAGTCACGTTGGGTGATAATGACCTTCTTATTTGTTGAGAATAATTAAGACCCGCCTTCTCAAGACGCGATCTCAGAGTTAAGTTAGTTCTTCGTTCTTTTACGCTCTGGACGCAGATGCGAGAGGCTGTGTGTGTGATGACCACTTTTGTTTTTGCTAAGCTAAATGATTATTTCGGTGAGTGTATGTAAATAGAATTTGATGTAAATATGGTACGAGATTTAAATGCTAACAGGGAAATGTTTATATGCTATTTTAAGTTGAATCCATGTGTGAACCTGAAGGGCTGTGACGGTGTCTGTCCCATGTTCATGCTAACACATCATCTTGGTGAGTCTACACGTGTTACCGATCTAATATGGTAAAAAATATGCTAGCGCGATGCTAATCGCGATGCTAATGCTAATCGCGAGTGGTAAACTACTACTTGAAATCAATGTAAAACCAATCTGTACTTGTTTTATTGTAATCTAAAGTGATATTTCAGATGACAACAAAGGTCACTACACTTTTATTTAATTTCACCCTGTTTTATGGTGAAGTGTAACACTAATTTGGTGTTTTATGTAAAAGAAAGTAATTCAATGTTAAACCAGCAAGGGTTTACAGATTCAGTGGAAGTATAGAGATACTATTATCTGTTTGATAATACAAATAATTGATTGATTTTCATTTATAAAAGCTTAAATAAGGTTTAAAAGGTAATAATTTAATTGGATTAAAATATTAATAAGATGTCATGGTTAATATGTTCAAAAAGATTAAAAGAACAATTCATTTTATTGTTATTACATGGGTTAAAAACAAATTCATGTGCAGCAATGATAGATTTGAATTAACAGAAATGAACACATACATGTATGTTCTGATATAACTATGGAGTTATATTATTTGATATTTTGAGTAAAAAAAAACAAAAAACAAAGCTATAGCTACTTGATTGTGAGAATAAATTAATGGAATTGGATTTCAGATAGCCGTATACTATAATACTGTTATTGTTGTACAGGCTAGGTTTTTTGTGTGTGTGACGATTAAGAAGACAAAGACAAGACTGGATCTGGATTCTTCTTTGGAGGAAACGGCGAGCCTGTCCCAGAACCCAGAACTGAGAACTGAGAGCAACCTTCTTCTCTGCTCTTCTTATCGAACTCATCACGTGGTAACCACTCAAACTACCACAGCGAGGATCCTGTTGGAACATTGACTGTGACTATACTGACTGAATATACTGAGCTCAGTAGGACTAAGGGTGAATTATGGTGCACAACTGAATGTAAACATAGATTGCCGGCTGTTCATTTGTAACAAATTTTATAATTTTTATTTTTATTTAAATTTTCTATCCAATACAAATCAAGCTTGCTCAATCTCTGTCTCCAGCCATCTCATTTACTCTCGCACTATTATTCCTATTGTAGTCCTTGAGAACCTAGTGCCTGGACCAAACTACTAGATTACTTTATTATACTATCTCGGGGTACATTACAGATAGAAAAAGAAAGTGTATACAAAATATTCCATATGCTACTACGAGAATAGTAGTAGTAGTAGTTAGTAGTAGTAGTAGTAGCACTAATAGTAGTAGTAGTAGTAGTAGTATTTAGGTCGAAAAGTTTGCCTTAAAAGTAGCTCCTGTGGTGACTCTTGAAGTTTTCAGATTTTTCCAAATGGATCACCTCATCGTATGGCAACATAGTAGTAGTAGCAGTAGTGGTAGTAGTAGTAGCAGTAGTAGTAGCACTAATAGTAGTAGTAGTAGCAGTATTTAGGTCCCAAAACTTCGCAGTAAAATAGCTCCTGTGAGTCACATTGAACTTTTCCGACTTCGCCAAACGGATCACATCACCATATGGCAACATAGTAGTAGTAGTAATTGTAGTAATAGTAGTAATAGTAGTAGTAGTAGTAGTAGTAAAAGTAGTAGTAGCAGAAGTAGTAATAGTATTTAGCTCCCAAAACTTCGCAGTAAAAGTAGCTCCTGTGAGTCACCTTTGAACTTTTCCGACTTCGCCAAACGGATCACCTCATCGTATGGTAACACAGTAGTAGTAGTAGTAGTAGTAGTAGTAGTAGTAGTAGTAGTAGTAGTAGAGTAGTAGTAGTAGTAGTATTTAGGTCCCAAAACTTCATAGTAAAAGTAGCTCCTGTGAGTCACATTTGAACGTTTCCAACTTCTCCAATGGATCACTGCACCGTACGGCAAAGTAGTAGTAGTAGTAGTAGTGGTAGCAGTAGTAGTAACAGAAGTAATCGTAGTAATAGTAGTAGTAGTATTTAGGTCCCAAATCTTTGCCTTAAAAGTAGCTCCTGTGAGTCCCCCTTTCTGATTTCTTCAAACAAATCACCTCATCGTACGGCAACGTAGGTATAGTTGTAGTCGTAGTAATAGTAGTAGTAGTAGTAGTAGTATTTAGGCCTCATAACTTCGCAGTAAAAGTAGCTCCTGTGAGTGACTCTTGAACTTTTGTGATTTCTCCGAGCGGATCACCTCACGGTTCGGCAGCATCAGGAGCTGATCTCGTTACAAACTCTTCTTATTCACTTTAATATCCCAAATTTCACTTCCTCCTCTTCAGAAAATATAATAGCTCGAACGTCTTTTTCCAATCTTTTTTCACTATACCCCTGAGTGGCATTTTAAAGCAGAGGAGCTCTCACTTATAATGGTCCAATTGGTCACGAAGGAGCGCTAAGATAATAAAGTCATATATTTTCCATTACTCTTGGTTTTTAAAATGAATTTGAAATCTCGGGCTTTGTAAATTATTTAGTACCACTCGAAGGTACGCCGTGTAACTTTTCGGATGAGGCTCTGTCACTGTCTGATCTTGTTTCTATGGAGACGTCATTGCTGTGCTCAGAATGTTCCACAGTATGGCATGAAACAGCTCTACCTTTACATTTGTTCAATACATGCGGCACGAATTTCGGACTTCCGGTCACACTGCGAAGGATCCGCTGAAAAAGTGAGCATCAAACCGTTGCAAACTGTTTGATTTCTCAGTGGGATGCGTCTATTGTCAAAGTCGATCTTTTCAAGTCTTTTGAACTGTATCACTTTTGTTCCTGGTTCTGATATTGTCATATTTTAGTTTTGGGATTCGGACATCGTAATTGTGTGGTTGTTGGATCCTAACAGCAGAAAACAGCTTGAGAAATGGGCTTCGGAAGTTTGCGAACTCCATAACTGCAAAAGTGAATCAGATGTGTGTGACTGCAAACCTCCGTTCAAACAGTTTCTCTTCCCAACAGGAATTGAAAAATAGTGAAAGGCGAAGGCGATGGGCAGGATTGATCCACAGGAAGGACGAAAAAGGAAACCTTTGGCTGCCTAAGAAATCATCCTGAGTTTGAAGCAAACATTTTGTATCCATCAAAGCAAAATCCCGATCTCTCACTCAACCTTGGTTACAAATTTAAAAAAGTCAACGCCAAAGCAAAAGGGACCAGCTGTTCATCAAGAAACACCTTCCACTGCAAAGAGACCAAGACGTCATGTTGCTGTAAAACCACAAGAACAAGAAAGTGCAGCTCAGCCTGTTTGTCTTCTGCACCTCTCGCTTTAACAAATGAGATTTTGCAGCCAAAGGTTTCCTTTTTCGTCCGTCCTGTGGATCAGTACTGCCCATCGCCTTCGCCTTTCACTATCTTTCTATTCCGTTGGGAAGGGAAACAGTTTGAACAGAGGTTTGCAGTCACACACATCTGATTCCCTTTTGCAGAAGTCACAATCTTCCGAAGCCCATTTTCCGCTGTTAGGACATCGAACAATTACACAATTACGATGTCCGAATCCCAAAACTACAATATGACAATATCAGAACCAGAAACAAAAGTGATATGGTTCAAAAGACTTGAAAAGATCGACTTTGACAATAGACGCGTCCCACTGGGAAATCAAACATGGCGATTTGATGCTCACTTTTTCGAAGGATCCTTCCCAGTATGTATTGCACGATGACCGAAAGTCCGAAATACAAATACACAGACGTGACTTGACTGTCATCACTTCAGATCCTTTTTTTTTTACTGAATAGAAGAAACATTGATTGAGATGTTGGACTTTTGCGCCACACACGCAACAAACTGAACAAATACTAAACCAGGACTGACCCAGGACTGATTCCAGGACTGAACCAGGACTGATTCCAGGACTGAACCAGGACTGAACTAGAACTAAACCAGGACTAAACCAGAACTGAACCAGGACTCACTGTCGGGAAGGGCTCGGAGATGTGCCCGTGTAGACCGCCGGGTGACCGCAGGCGAAAGGACCGGCGCAGAACTGTCGCCAGATCACTTTTTGCGGACACTCTGCTCCACGGGCTCGGGGTTCTCTCTCTCTCTTAAGTCCAAGATTAGTCCTGGTTTAGTCCTGATTTAGTCCTGACCCGCCCGTGTGTAATTACTACCCGCCCATAAAACTCCAGAACGTTAAAACCCGCCCATTTCAGCAACTATGTCCCCGTTCCCTGTACCCGACCCGGTGCAGGACTGTGCTGTGAGTGGACTCGCCTCTCCACAGATCTGACCTGTTACTTGGCTTGGATACTTGCTTGTCCCCATGGAGATACATACATTTACGTTTATTTTTATTTATTTTTTATTGCTTATTTATTGCTCTTATCTTTTTTTATCGTTGGTCCTCGAGGAACAAATTTAGTTTCTTACCTTGAATCTTGAACGTTTAAAGCCATACTGCGGAACATTACGGGCATGGCAACGGAATTCAAAAGCGTATTACCACTTGTCGGCAGTTTTTTTTTTTAATGAATCTGCTTCTGAATTAAATGTGAAAACCATGTACACTAAAAATATGTACTGAAATTTGACTCTTACTACATAAAAAAACTAAACTTCAGCAAGCGCAAAATGAGTCAATATATTTTCAGTTTTATTTCAAATTCCCAATTCAGCTCTCCACCTGCTCCCAGATAAAGATAATTAAAAAAAAAAGCAGAGTCTAAACACTATTGAATGCGAGAAAAGGTCCTTATTGCCTGTTGAATGGGCCCAGTATTGACCCGTCGTGTTCCCAAACAACAGAAACAGCAAAGAGGGAAGAGCGGCTAAAGAAAGCAATTTACCAAACCAAATAAGCATCTGTGTCTGTCTCTGGTCCAAACGCCGAGGCTCTGCGCGGGTAATCGAGCCCAGAGTGAAATAATGTCCACCCACAACGGCCCACGGCGGGGAAGTCTGTCTGATCTGCTCATGTTTGAGAGAAGGAGAGTAGGGAGCATTATACGGCGTTAACGGGGGAAACAGGGAGAGAGGAGTTCAAACAGGGTTAAAAGTCCAAAAAACAATGGAATCGAAAAGGTTTTTTTTAAAAAAAAAAGTAGAATATTCAGTCTTTATTTAACATACAGTATGTTAAAGATGATCTACTGCTAAAACTACTACTACTACTACTACTACTACTACTACTACATACAGCTACTACTACTACTACTACAGCTACTACTACTACTACTACGCTACTACTACTACTAGACTAGCTAATACTACTACTACAACAACTACTACTATTACTACAACTACTACTGCTACTACTACAACAACAGCTACTACTACTACTACTACTACTACTACTACTACTACTACGCTAGCTACTACTACTACAACTACTACTACTACTACTACTACTACTACTACTACTACTAGCTACTACTACTACTACTACGCTACTACTACTACTACTAGCTACTACTACTACTGCACTACTACTACTACTACTACTACTACTACTACTACGCAGCTACTACTACTGCAGCTACTACTACTACTACTACTACTACTACTAGCACTACTACTACTACTACTACTACTACTACTACTACTACTACTACTACTACTACTACTAGCTACTGCTACTACTACTACTACTACTACTACTACTACTAGCTACTACTACTACTACTACTACTACTACTACTACTGCTACTACTACTACTACTGCTACTACTACTACTACTACTACTACTACAGCTACTACTACTACTACTACTACTACTACTACTACTACTACTACTACTACTACTACTACTACTACTACTACTACAGCTACTACTACTACTACTACTACTACTACAGCAGCTACTACTACTACTACTACTACTACTACTACTGCAGCTACTACTACTACTACTACTACTACTACTACTACTACTACTGCAGCTACTACTACTACTACTACTACTACTACTACTACTACTACTACTACTACTACTACTACTACTACTACTACTACTGCAGCTACTACTACTACTACTACTACTACTACTACTACTACTACTACTACTACTAGCAGCTACTACTACTACTACTACTACTACTACTACTACTACTACTACTACTACTACTA